ATAAGGCCACTTTGAGGCCCAATTATACATCAAAAATCATATAAAATTACAAAAAAAATAAGAAGATATCAAAAAAAAATAAAAAAATAATAAGAAGATATATCAAGTAAAAAAACAAAAAAAAATACTTTTGATTTATGTACTTAAACTATAATAAATATTTTTGTAAAACTACATTTATTTTGTTGAGTACACAATAAAATTATTGTCTATAGAAAAATAAAATATTGTTTCTTTTTTTACTTATTAGAGTGTATTTGTATATTTATATTTATTTCAACAGAATAATGGGCTCCACTGAACATGCCCCATGCAAAGTAATAACTACCTACTAGCAATGTTTTTGTCACGCATCAAATATATCAATAAAGTATTGTAATAATATTTTTTGTTGGGTATTTTTGGTCAGGTAAGTATTTTAATATAATAATTAATAGATAACCATAGATAACTTGGCACTTTTACGTACCTATATTATACATTCGACCGTACTCAATGGCATTTTAAAAATTGTAATCCTTTTTACTCTTGACCCCACAAAATAGGTAACAAATAGGACGTACCAAGTATCAGAAAAGATGCTGATGTAAAACATCAAATCATTTTTACTGCCCCAAAATGTAGCCTCAAAACGAATATTAAAAAGCGGGTTAGTGTATGTCACTCTGCTGTGCAGTTGGTTACAAGTGGCCCAAATGGGCAGGGCCGGCGCTACCTTTTGCGAGGCCCTGGGCAAAACTTATTTAACCAATATCCATATCGCATAGAACATAGATGTAAAAGGCAAAAAATCATAAAAAATGTGGGTCCCAAATAAAACTATTTTAAATCATTAAGGACTTAAGCCCTCCCAAAATGTTGACCCTAGTTACACCTATGATGTTTATTGAAATAAAAATACATTAGTAAATATTAATTTTCAACTTTTTAATGATTACTTTTAAACGTATTACACTTGTCAACTTACAAACATATAAATAACTTACGAAATATATACTAAGCCACTAAGGTATACAAATGTACAAATGTACAAAGGTTCTGTAATTGTATGTACTAAATTTAATATAAAATAATTCATTTAAACATTAGAAATTTAAGCAATAAAAAACAAAATTAATATAGAATATTTAAAATTTTTTTCTTGATTTTTTGGACGCAAACAACTCTATGACGTCCATAAAATTCAATGTATTTGCTGTTTCATTTTCAATTGCAATAGTAGCCAATTCAGTCAATCGTTTTTGAGAAATTGTGTTTCTTAGGTAATTTTTGATTATTTTGAGCTTTGAGAAACTCCTTTCTGCTGACGCTGAGGTGATTGGTATGGTTAACAAAATTCGGAGTGAAATTACTGTTAGGAAAAGCTGTAAAAGCACCAGGAATTGTTTTTAAAAACTGAGTGCTTCCAGTGGCGTCCGCAGGGGGAGGGGGGGGGCTAACGGGCTGAAGCCCCCCCCATTGCCCGTATTATTATTACTTTAAAAAAAATATATTAATCAAGTTTAAACTGTCAACTATAGTAAGCAAGACGTAAATTTCATATATGACTTACCAGAATGAATTCATTTTTGAAAAAACATTGTATTTGCATACCAATTTTCATAAATTTTTGGTAAAAGAATGAACTACTTGTACGAAAGACCTTGCATTAAATTGTCTAGCCTTAGCTGTACATATTTTATATTTTATAAGTTTTGAACTACAAATTAACTGTGGTTAAATTGTTTTGAACTTTAAATGCATATGTATCGTTAATATTTTAGCTATAATAAAAAAACTTACGTATTACATTTTTAAGCTTTTTGACCGGATAAATAATTTTTTATTGACATTTATAAAAAAAAAAAAGTTAATTAATCAAATACAATCCAAGTGAGGACGGTATAACCAAGCAGGTGCGTATATAGGATTTTCTTGAGGAGGGGGATATCAAAATTTGTTTAGTGCTGTTGCAACTTTTTGTTAGTTACTCCAAGGTATATAATAATAATAAATGTTGTGTAATGTCACTCACATGCCCACAGGATAACAAAATTATAAATAACAACAGTACTGCAGCAGTTTGTACTTTATACATGGAAAAAAAATGGGTAAGGGAGGGGATCTATCCCTCATATCCCCGCCCATAAATACGTCACTGTTAAACCAAGCTACTGTTACCAAACAATTTAAATAAGTTTTGATTTTTTTTTCTCCTATTAGGTACTTTTAAAAGCACTGAGCAGATTCAATTTCGACCTCCTAAAAGTACCATCAAAACTTATGATAAGAGCATATTTTCTACTAGAAAAGTTGAAAAGTTACTAACATTTTAAAATACCTCAAATAAACGTCTGAAATTATTAGACTGGACAAAATAAAAATAAATTTGTAACTAATTTTCAAGCCCCCCCCCCCCCCATTGAAAAATCCTGCGGACGCCACTGAGTGTTTCTATTGGCGTAGAATCTTCTTTCATTGTATGACGAAAAACTAGTAACTCTTCATACAATTCAGAAGCAACTATATCAAATAATTCTCCGTCACTTAGATAATTTTGTAAATCTAAGCAACTCTTCATAAGGTCGTCATTAGTTATTTTTTGGAGCTCACCAATATTGTATAGAAAACTGAAATTGTCGCTATACATTTTAAATTGATTAAATCGTTCACTAAATGATTTGACAGCAGCTCGCAATATCGGGTAATGATAGATTAAATTTAATAATGCGATTAACTGTTTAGGAATCCGGGGTTTCCATACCGTTCGACGTGCCATACCGATCGACGTTGACGCATAAATATTTAATATTATAATATTATATTGTTGTTTTGTTTTAGTACAAGATTTTCATATAAAATATTTTCCTATGTAAATTTCGAGAGCGAGGCCCTTGAATGCGCGAGGCCCTGGACAAATGTCCCGCTTTGCCCCCCCCTAACGCCGGCCCTGCAAATGGGTCAATGTAATGGATGGTCTTAAATTTGAATTCAATGATATAAATCATTGCATACGAAAAACGATCCTGAGCGAAGACTGACCATCAGCCTATAATATTACTAAGTAGGTAGGTATATTTTATGATATTATTGTGAATAATTTTAGTATTAGACAATTATAAGTATTGTTAATGATGTTAAACACATTGTTAAATAAGTACCTACATAATATTATATAGCTTTAAGCTAGTTAATATTGGTACCAATATTGATTAAATATAATTAAAATTTATAATTCTTCTGACTTGTTTCAATGTTATTAGATATAATATTACATAATATGTATTGTTATTGTTTTTCACAAATAAATTAAATTTAGGTTACTGAGAATGATATTATATTATATTTTCTAAGTAATATAGCATGCAATTGTGTCTTAGTGAAGCTCTGAGGTTAAAAAACTTCACATGTACTTTGTCCATAATATTTTTATAATAAATATAATTTTGATTGGGTTAGGTTTGAGCTGTTTTTAAACTTATTATTACTGTATTGAATATGTACAAGTTTTTAAAAGACAAAAAATCTTACAAATAAATAATTAGGGAACACGACTATAAAGGTAACACTAAAAAAATAAAATTATTATTATTAAAAAAATAACACTGCATTATTTTGGTTGAGTATTTTACTATGATGAACAAATAATTGCACTAGGTTTTTTACATCCATTATAATTAATAATACAATTTATTAAGTAGCTAATGGATTATATTACACATAATTGAGTAGATTATACTTCCATAACCATATTTAACAACTAAAGAAGTTGATTTTATAATTTTGTTTTAACTATGTTTAGTTTTTTTATGGACTTTGTTATTGCTTACGCATGTAGATATTATTTTTCATGATAAGTATCAAAAAATTTAAAATTTAAATTTTCCTTTTAATTTTATTTTTCTGAAAACATAATCATCGTTCAATGCTGTAAAGAGATTGCATTGATGTACTAATCACGAATTAAGATAATATACTGGATACGGAACATTAGTTGAAACAAACCTTCTTAGACTATGGCATGACACACAGCGCTTATAGTATTGTTGTGTTAACCGTTAGAATAATGAACTATTAGTTCCTTATTCTCCCGGTTAACACAGAACAATAATATAAAGCGCTAGTGGTCTAGCCGTAACGTAAGAAGTTATTGCCACGAAATATGAGTTGATAAGGCACTGCGTTCCGTATCCAGTATATCTTAGTTCGTGGTACTAATGCACAATAATGTATTTTATGATTGACAGTGATTAGAGGAGTAAAGACCGGAAGTTTTCTGGTGTTCCTTGTGACTTTTGATGTTAAATCTATATATTTTCATCTTATAGCAAATTTTAAGTAAGGTATCAATTATGCAGATGAATTTAGAATGAACAATTTTAGACCAAGAAAATTGTAATACACAATATTTGCCATGAAAATGTAGTACCAATAAATCAGTATTTTCAAGTAACTCAATATATAGGAAATTGATAGAAAATTAATTATTACATATTCTAATAAATATTAGAACATATATACTTTAGTTTTTATATGTACTCTTTTAATATGAGCTCCATGAGTCTTTAAATTCTTTTAAATAACAGTTTACCAGGTATTTATCCAAACCCAGCATACAATAGATTTGAAAATTTTCTTATAGGTTATTACAATTTATCATTATTAATAAATATTAATTGAAAAGGACCTATAACAGAACATACTTATTACTTACCAAAAATATCAAAGGCAATTAAACAACATAAGAAATTGAAAACAATTTATAACTTTTTAATTTACATTAATAAAATAAAGAAATGCTAAAAAACTAAACAATTTTGTTTCAAAACAATATGCTAAATAAAATAAAATAAAACATAAACTTAGTACAATATTAATAATATTTGTGTTGAACACTTATGTACAAATTGGAATGGATTCTAGGCCAAATTTAAGTTTTGTTGTTGTTTTTTTTTTTAATCAATTCATAACTATTACTTGCACAGTCTGATTTTTTCAACTATAAGTCAATTTATGAACGTTTAGTTTTCTTTCTTCATTCTGTTGCTGGTCATGCGGTAAATGATTGAATCGCGACCAGGATCCATCTGGGCAATGCTCACTAGAAAATGTAATACAATTAGTATGAGTAAAATTGTATAAATCAAACTTTTAATATTACACATATTTAGTTAATTATTTCACAATTTTCTTTTGTTATTAATATTCAGTTTTTCAACCAAAGTAACAATAGCTGATAATTAATTTAAGTTGGCACAGGTTTTTATCATAGTACTACAGCTTGTGAAAAAATTACTAACCCCATTTGTATAATGGGTGTAAAGTACCATACAATTGATACAATCAATTATCAGGTGATTATTTTAACCAGTATGGTATAACAAAAAATATTTTGTTTCACTTAAATAATACAAGGGTTCATTATTATAAAAAATGGCAAGTAAATTCAAAGTAAAGTGTAAATTAAAAATATAACTAGTTACAAAGTGTAAACACTTAATGTATTTTTATGTTACAACTTTAGTAAGTTATAATAATATAATTGTATAACTTGCATCAAATTACATAATGTATTTTTATTTGAAAAAATCTAATATTATTAAATGAAATAAGTTAAATATCATTTGATGAAATAAATTATTATAATTATTATTGTTCACATTTGCTTGTAAAATTGTTTTATTTTTAACCAATGAACATTTTTAAATGACAAGTAGTCAGGATTATCATAGTATATATAGCACAATACCTATAATAATAATGGTAAAACTAATTAACTATATTTATTATTTATCTTTATAGACTATAATGAAGTGGATAGATCAATCCCGATGATGTTAAACTGATGGACTTGTAATGTACTTTAATTTAAACTAGGTAAGTATTAACTAAAATCTATTAGAAATAAACAGATTAATTTATAAAAAATAAATAAATCATAATTTCTTATGAAATTTAGAAACTGGTAGAACGTATTTTATAAATCAAATAATTACGAATCTGTATTGGAAATGTAAATTGTTACAATTACAGTTTATATAGTGTTAATTAACCTAACTCAAACCTTGAAATCTCAATAAAAAATCCCTTTTAATATTTATAAACTCAATTCAGGATAAATTCATGGATGAATACTGATTACTGAGCTGCCGGTAGTTACCTGAGGTAAGATTAGTAGATATTATAGTATGATATAAACTATTTTGATTTCATTCATATAAAGAGTAAAGATAATTCGCGGTTCGGTAATCTGCATTAATGCGTGATTTTTAGTATTCTTATCCGGAATAGAGGATATAAAATGTATGTTTTTTAAGTTACTAAAAGACTGTATACATCCGTATTTAATTGTGACTTTAGAAACCTTTTAAATATACAAGTCTAATAAAATAATATTTTTTTAAAAATAATTTAAATTATAGTGTTAATATTAAAAATATTTTATTCACTAATATTAAAATGAAACCAAAAATAATACTCACATGCTATGGCTAAAAGTGAAAAGACAAATATAACAACGAACCACAGTATAAGATTGAATATAACTGGGAAATCATTTGATATTGGTTCAGCAACATTGAGATCCTAAAAAAAAAAAATACACATAATATATTATACTTTATTATAATAATTAACATCAAGCATAGTTGATTTTAAAACAGTTTTTACCTTTTCCATGCTAGTAAGTTCACGTTTGTTTCTGTGTGATTCTTTAGCATTGTTGGTAATAGCAATTATTAACACCTATATAACATACAATTAGAATATTTAATATGTAATAACTATATCTAAAAAGATTTTACAATGTATAAGAAGTAAAATCTGGTAATATAGGTATACAATTATACAGTATGTTAATTAATTGAAAAGGCAATAGCTCCAATTCAAAATATAATGCAGAAATTGTACAGCGTAGTTTGTTTTAAATTTAATACTTGTCTCTCTTTTACCATGTTCAAAATAAAATTTGTAATCGGTTGAATTTTGAAGTAACTTAAATTGTAAAAATACATTATAATATTGTAATATTGTATGTTTTTCATACTTTGATAACTAATGCTACTCCAGTAGGTAATTAAGAACAAAATACTCGTTGAAATTGTATGTAACATATTTTCATTTGTTTTTATAATATTGTTTAATACATATATCCACCATGAACTTCTATGCACAAGTAAATTTTATAAGACTATGATTTCTTAAATAAATTTAGTCATTAGAGCGATGATTAAAAATGTGTGAGATATTCCTAGCAACACGTTAATTTTATTACAAGGATCATGGGCCTATAAAATTGACTTGTGCATAACAGTTGAAGAATATTATAAAAACAAATGAAAATATTACATAAAATGTCAACGAGTAGTATGTTCTTACCTCGAATTAGGGCTACTGACTCCGATTAATTAACATACTGTTTATTGATATTAGTCGAATACATACCTCATTATTGTAAATTTCATTGTATGATTGGACCAACGTAGATATAGCTTCATTTAAAACTTTTTCACCTTCAATAGTTTCTGCTGAATTAGGTTCATTGACAGCGGTCAAAGCTTTTACACCTTGCAATTGAAACCAATGTAAATCTGGCACATTATTTTTCAACATGCTCTCTTTGACCTGCAATGGTAATGTACTTAAATGTATGACACAAAGATTTTATTACAATTTAATGCCGAGTTGCATACACCATTACTGAACATTTCATATACAATCAATAGTAAGACAGTAGTCTTTTTTTTAACATGATTTATTGACCCAGGATATTTTTATCATTCAATTAATTAATAGATTTGTTTTGCAACTCTGCATGAATATCTCAAATTTTACTTACACCTTGTCCCAATTGATGCAAGTTGTAAATTTCATTAAAAAATACTTTATACTTTTCATCATATGAATCAATGTGTTGAGGTTTAATACTAGGATTAAGTTTAAAATTTGGATGGAATACTTGATTTTTCAGCTAAAAATTATTATAAGATTATGAACAATAGAAAAAAATTATACATTAAGTATTTAATCTCACAAATTCATCATTGGTTAAGGAACCATGCATAATGCTGTATGCCTTATTGTCGAGTCTCTCCTTCATTCTATGTTCCACAGTAGCATACACTTCATCTAAGGGTTCATCCAAAATTAAATCATGATGCTCAACTTTATTTAGGTCAAAACCAGGATTGTTTGATCCGGGTATTTCGAGAACAACTACAGCTTCAGGTAATGAAAATGGATCTGCCACCATTAAGTTGCTCCAAGTTTTTACCTAATAAAACACATTTTAAAACAATAATCATGATTAATATTAGACAACGATTGTAATATACACTTTCTTATTTCTTATAAGAACTACAAAGAACTATGAATTTTGATAGGTACTTGAAATGTTTATAGGTTTTTGTCTTTATTTTAAAGTTATGATAAAAACATTTTGTCTATTTCAGCAATGGTATAATACCTACCCATAGTAAGCTGTTTTAAGCTATAAAATGTATTGTAGATCACTTTGTAAGTGACAAGACATTTGTACTTAAATGTAAATCATTATTTAAATAACAAAAATGCTTATGTTTTAACAAGCAACCAACTGTGTATCATAATTGTTATTTAGTCAACAACTGAATTAATAAAATGCTGAATTATAAAGTGTGACAAGTAGGTATCATCTCGGTGAGCCAAATGTTGTGACTTTGAGAATTGTAGATATGTGAACTTACTCCATTCGAGACGGTGAAACCCAATGTCGACGATACAACATCGGCTAACTCAGTGGCACGCAACGGCACGGACGACTGGCCGATCTTGACGTTTTCAGGACAGTTAAGGACGTACAGTTGGTGGCTCTGGGCACTTGCTAGAACATAAAACACACAGTTATAAACACAAGGGATCGCTAAAATAGATGACTGGGTCACAGGGAATGGGAAACCACCGACCAGAGGGTTTTGGCGAGGAAGGACAGCGGCTGTCGGGGCGTGTCCGCCGAAAATAAAACCGTACTCACCGGACGCCAAAGCGGCGATGGCCAGAGCGATGATCGTGATCAGACAGCTCATGTTTGGGTTGATGCCGGAACGCCGTCGGGGTGAAAGACGAATAACGGAGACCAATTTGAGCAGCGTTGGGCGTTAGTGCGAACGAAAATAAGAAATATTAAAGATAATATCATTCGCGCTACACCTACTACTCGGCACTCGCGCAAAGCAAATTCTGGTAAGTTATCAAGTGGGTATCGACCTGTGTTTACCATTGGTCATACATTTCGAGATAACAGTACGCTGATAATGTTACCGCCCGTCCGCGCAGTGTGACCGTTTGAGAGGACGACGTGTCGCCGACAACAGTCCGGTATTTTTTTTTAACGATCACCGCCAAAACACAATCAAATACGAATAATCTTAAAATATAATACAATATAATGTTCTGTACATTTGTACCTAAACCTAATGATATCAAAGTGCCAGACTTGAGACTAAGAAGTAAGAACCGAGCGAGTAGGATACAGGAACAGTGTCCATAGCCAGGGTGGGCTTGACACCTGACATCAGTTTTATAATGTTTTAAGCAAAAACGTGTGAGCAGGTATTTTGTTCATTCCTTTATGGTATATAATTATTTATTTATAAACATTGAACAGGACACGGATAAAGACCCTTTGATGCAAAATAAATTTGAATTATTCAGGTTTACAATAATAAACACTTTTACAAATGTATGACTACCTAGGTACTATAATCGCACGAACTAAGATATATAGTTATTCATCATTATTGCGGAATAGAACTTTTTTTTTTTTTTATTATTATTTATTAACTAATATGTTAATATTCAAATATTGTACAAACATTTTTAAACCTATCATTGAGAGACAAGAGTAATTCGATGAAATCCATACTGCCATTCAATGCGACATTATAACATAATATCAGCAACTTTTTTTTCTCAATTTACATACCTAGGTATTATAGAAGTAGGTATAGTCACAAAATAGGTTTTAACTATTCTGTAGTATAGTCATTCCCAACATTTACAGTGAAACTTTCAAATTATATGAGTCTCAGACATAGGCATATTTAACTTAAAAACATCAAAATTTAAAACTTTTAGCAATCTAACGATAGAAAAAAAAATTTGGGTATTTACGATCAACTATACATTAACAATAACTTATGTCATCTTCTGAGCCCTGAGGAAATTATTATATTAAAATGTCAAGTTTTTTGAATGAGAAAAATTGTTTATTCACATTTATAGAAAATAATGAATAACATATTATCATATTAACAAAGCCTCACTGGGTTAGTTTTTATGACAAAGGCTAGGAATTTACTCACAAAGGACATATTTTACTCGTAGCATAATATTTAGCGCGTTCTGATGTAGGACATCACTTGCTTAGTCAACATCATAGTAATTAGTTGCAATTTCAGTTTTTGTCTTGGAGGGACTTTACATATTATTATTTAAATGAAACCGACCCATTTTGAGAGATCTGCCCTCCCCACACCCTCTCTTTAAATACCTTTAAAATATATTATGTTATGTAATTAATATAATAGGTTATAAATTATAATATTAGGTACATAACATAATATATTTATAATTTTTTTCTCACCACTTTCCTACATTTAATATAATATTATAATACATATTATACGATCTACCAGCTATTCCTAAAATTAATATTTTTATTAAAACAGTAATTATAACATTCAGAGTAATACTTAAACATATTATAATAAATTTTATCCATCGATTAAAATTGCAAATTTATAAAAAAAACATTACTATCGAGTTTCGATTACCTAGGTATATTCAAAACAAATTTAAGTGTTTATCAGTAATGTACATTTTAATTACTAATTACTAATTTTTAATACTCTCAGTTCGGATCCGATATCTACTATGGAAAACACACGAATAATGAATCGTTGTTTAAACTTTAGAAAATAATTTCTTCAAATAACATTTTCTGAATTAGGTATGTAGATTAGATAACAATAATGAAGGATTTAATTCTTCAATTGAAATACAAATAATTGGAGGAGATAATTTTAATATTGCAGGGGCTAAGTCCCTCTCAGCCCCCCCCCCCCCCAGCAGATCGTTATTAAACATTTCAAAAGCACCTATTTTAAATCTAAATTTGTGTGAAAAGATGTCTCGTTATATCAAAGTAGGTAGGTACCAACACGCTACTCGTTCAAATTTTGATTTAGATACATGAACATTTAAAAAAAAATTATCTGCTGAATAATTTAAAGTTAAAAACGGCTGTTCTTATTTGAAAAACTTAAGTTGGTTTCGCTTCCGGACACTGCTTGAATATAGTTGAATGATACAACAATTTCAAAGATTCGAAAATATGGCTTTTAATTCAAATATATCTAAAAGTTCCAAAAATCCGTTTTTAAATAACTACATTATTATAGGAAAAATGGAGGAGAAGGGGTGGGCATGCTTTGCAAATCACCCTGTATACACGATAACCACTTATTTAATATTCAATGTTATTTTTTCGTTAAATAGATAACAAAGATGAAACGAGAAGAACTTTTTGACGCCTCGAGAGGCAAGATGACGCTATTGTGCATCTAGCCACACGAATAGACCCGCTACAGCGGCCAATTATTCCCACTCCGGCTTTCTCCTACCAGTTGCTGCAGTTCAGACCCATTCACTTGTAGTACCTATACCTACCCATAGTCCCATACATACTCGGTTTATTCAGTTTACAGTCTACTAACCAGCAGTATACCTTTCATTAGTCCTCACGGTGGACGGTGTCGCTGTCCGCATATTTATTTTAATGGTTACCAATATCATTTTATTTTTGCATACTTACACGTATAACCCGGTGTTAGTGCATAATACTCGACTCGCAAAATGTACCGGATTATTTACAATCAACTAACGAATCCCACGTGAGAATACTCATCAAATCGCGCACCACCTGTATAACAATAATAATACATTATACACATAAAGTGGGAGAGAAAAAGACAAGAAATACTACAAAACCAGAGGTGAGTACGTACTATACGTATAGAAATCTTTATTATGAATATTATAACATATTATTATGATATTCACACAATATGACTCTTTAAAGATATGCTTCTTTCCTTGGCTGGATAAAAATAATAGGGTTGTGTATGAATACTCTGACGGTGTCCAGTACCTCCTACGCATATATATATTGGTATACACGGTAACGCACAATACAATACGACGAGTATAATATTTTATTAAATAGTTCATCTATTGTACACACGTTAACTGTGTACGTTTGTGTCTAGTAATAATACTTAATAAATAATAATAATAATAATAATAATAAAATAATGGATGAAAAAAACCAGTCGCTTGTCTCTGGGAACCGGTTGTGTCGTGATTCAGCCGCGACCCCCTCGAGCTCTGCTCCTATATCCAACCACGGCCGTGTAAGCGAGCTCGTACACGTCTTAACTGCTCTAACAAAGACATGGACGAAAACTATATACACGGGGGAGATCGTTTGGCTACAATAATGGACCTAAATCCCATTCGACGTCAATGATGGTGATTAGTGACATTGAACGCGTAAAATGTATTTATGTAAAATTATGTCTGTGACATACCAAAGAGCTACACAGCGGGTAGACTTTAACGGTACGCCAGGTAGAGTACTAGAGTGCGAACCTACTTTCTGTAATTCTGTTTAGAAAAAGCTTTTGGATAGGAATTATTGTACAGTATTCCAGTTGATTTGTGTACGTATTAGGTAGGTACCTACCCGAGAATAAAATATTAACCAACCTACCTTCTATTATGTGTTGGGTATCAATTGATGAACAATGAGACGTTTGATAAAACGATATTAATGTATGATTATACAGCAGAACAAAATAACGTTTTTGATATCGGTCAAGAAATCATTTGAAAACTATTGAAGAATAACGAAATAAATACTATCGAAATATTAAGTTATTATAACGTATCGATATTGATATTTCGACATAAGTAACCTTTTTATATATTGCTATTATATTATTGTTTCATTGATAGCATATATTGGTGCAATACCACTACAACCATTACCCATATTATATGGGTATAGGATATTAGGATCCAATAGGTCTATGAACGGTAAAATAATACACGAAAGACTGTTGCTTATGCAATAAAGTGCTTGACATTTGCGTGATTTGTGTGTGCATGTCTGTAATAGATACGGTGGTATTGCATAAACAAATTATCTTTTACTTTACACATACCCATTACCCACCCAGCGCACCCTTACTCGTAAGTCGTAACATTTCATTTATCGAATCGACCAGTTTATAATATTCCTTTAATAGTTTTAATCGTATTAAATATTATTTGTTATTTATCAGCTACTGTCGTGGATTGATACGATTAATAATAAGAATAGATAATAATATTATATTATCAAAATCCTGTGTCTAGATTTTTCAATGCATGTCATTCAATAATTAATTCAAATGACCTCAACGACTGTAACTAAGGGCAAACATCGCTCATTATAGAAACACCCTTATTTTCACTAGTCCAAAAATTGCCTGAATCAATTTGTTTATAAGCGCATTAATTCTTGTTTATTTTTTGCCTATGATAAATGATAATTGATTAATATTCACAATAAACAACAATGATTATAGTAAAAATACATACATAAATGTTACATAAATGTTAATGTATATTGTTACCTATTTGATAAATCTAAATAATTATAGTACGTACTTAATACTTTTTGCACATAGGTATTTAAATTATTTTTATTTGTTACTGTTGTTAGAACATCTTTATCCAAAACATTGAAAATATTATTTTATTAAATTATTTTTCATTAATCTTAACCGAATTATTGCTGGGTTATATGTGGAAATTATTCTTCATGTGATGAAATCTCAACGTGGGTTAATAATTGGGACCTATTAATGACGATTTTCCAATGTAAATTAGATACCTAGGTACGATAGTTTCGATCTGTAGAATTTATTCCAACACTATAAACTATAAAATTATGATATAATTGGACAAAATCTAATTTATT